GCTGATATAATTTAGGAGAGTAGTTAGTGGCTTTAAACAAGGCAGGCTGACACAGTAACAGAAAGGAAAAAATGAAAGGATAATGTGTGTGTACGTATGTCTATACACACACACACATATATAAGTTAGAAGGAACAAAAACTAGTTTTTCTTTAGAAAAGATAAATCTAAATACTCTGGTACCTAGAAAGGAAGATATGAGAGTGAATGTGGACAGCAGGGTTGAAAAAACTCATTATTTACAATTCATTTCACATTTTAAAATTGCATTTATTTGTAAATCTCCCACTTACTCAAGTTTCTCCAATTTCATTAATGCCTCCTGGTGTGCAGCATTTAACTGTTGCATTTTGTCCACAGAGGATTTCTATTAAAGCAATTTTAATAATCTTATATTAATATTTTTCAATGGAATCAGTGATGTATTAAAAAATAAAGTATCTATCAGCAAGGATTACAAAATGCTTATTCACACTACAGTTTTCACCATCAGAAGTAAGAAATTCAAGATAGAATTAGGCATCATCCATAAATGTGGAATTTATTCAACACAAACGTTGAGTCTTACCAGTTATGTACTGTGCTAGGTGCTAGGACTTTCGAAGACCATATACATCCCTGCATGTAATTAGTTCAGTCTCCCTCAAGAGACAGATACATGGATAAAAAACTATGAACAATTTTCTATAGTACTGAATATAATGGCAACAAAGGAAAGTGACATCCTCACAAGTGGTGTCAATGCTGGAGAGGGGTTCCTGGAGAGGATGGAGCTGTCTGAGCTGTGTCTTGAAAAATGAAGAGGACTTATTCAAGCAAAATAGTGTGTTTATGTGTACTGACGCATGTGTAAGCTTTGGAAAGTATGTGATGTTTAGGGGACATAAGGTAAACATGATTTGTACAAGGAAGTATTTGCCTATGTAATTCAGTACAGCTGGAGTCTAATGTTTAACTGTATGGTATTATTCTGGTGCTTTTCTAAAAGTATAATAGAAAACTGAGGATAAATGGGACAAATCAGACAGATGACTCATGATCTTTTCAAATTCCCTAAACTTTTGATGGCTGGAAAATGAATATCAATCTATTAAAATGACTGCCTTGCACTGCATCTTATTAATATAATTTTGGGCATACATATTTAAAAAAAGAGAAAACCACACAGTCCAATTAGACCATTATTTAAAAGGCAAAAATAAACCTCAAATACCTCTCTTAAAGAACACTACCCTGTGCATGCAAACTTCAAAGAAAAAAACAATATGTGGATATTATCAATATTTTCTTCCTTCACATGTCCTACCTAGCATAGGAAAAGGAGATTCAGCTACAAGATTAAAAAACAAACAAGAAATCCAATCTTTCCAGCAGGTAAAACTTGCAACTTTATATAAATATAAAATTAATCCTAAATGCCATACAGCAATTTGATAACAGTGACAAATATTTCAAAACAGATTGAGAGTACATAAATGTTACTGATCTGGTATGTGAGCCAAAAACATATGTGAATCTTACATATTGCCAAAGGAACTCCATATACGTCTCACGGCATGCTTCTCTGAAGTGAATAAAGTTGATAATGCCACTTAAAAACCGACTTGTCCGTTTTGCTTCTAAAATAGAAGAAAGAAATTGTTCAAAACATAAAAATGAAAATTCATCTTCTCCCAAAATACACTTTGCTCATAACACAAAACAATGCAACACAACGCTGTTGAGTCTGATCCTATTCATAGCGACCCCTCCTTGGCTTTCCAAGGCATTATCACTAGGGAAGTAGATTGTCCAACCTTCCTTCCGGGGAGTGGCTGGTGGGTTTAAACCACCAGCCTTCTGGTTACCAGTCAAATGCCTTAGGCACTATGCCACCAGAGGACTTTGCTCATGTACTTTGTATATGCTAAAATTAACCAAAGTGCAGATAATCTGTTATAACTTAACTATCAGTATTATTTTTGCACTTAGGAACTGAAAATGAAAAAAAGAGGAAAAAAAAAAAAAAGGCAAACTAAGACTTCTACTTTGAGGGAAAACAGGGACAACATTTACCCTTCTACTTAACAACTAAAAACCTAGACAAAATATATGAAACAACAGGTTGGAGAGAATACAAACGAGGTGAGCCGTATTACTGCATCAGCTCACTGCTGGAGATCATTC